GATTTTGAGGGATTTTTGGGGAGGTTTCTGGGGAGGATCTTGAGGGGGTTCGTGGGGAAGGAAGGATGGGGTTGGATTACCTCTAGAGGGCTCTGGATGAACAGAGATGTTTCTTGGAATCTTTTCTCTCCCGGATCCCGATTTTGGCTTCCGGAGCAAAGTCTTTGTGCCATCCAAGGAGGATTTGGGATTCTCTCCCCGTTCCTAGGACACAGCTCCTAGGGGAAAGGATTGTGGATTCAGCTCCAGGCTTGGCTGAAAGCGACGACAAGTAACGGGGGAGGGGACGGGGGATGGGAAAAAACGGGAAAAACCTAAGCAAGGATATGATCCTGCTCTCCAGAGGGTCCTGAGTCGGCAGGATCATCCCTCGGGAATGATTTGGGAGCGGCAGCTCCTGCAGGGAGAGGGTAGTGGATAAGGGGATGGAAAAGAGCCCTGAGCTCCGTAGGGATTGGGGAGGGGTGTGGATTCCTAGGGGGAATTCCTTCCTTTCAAGGGATGTTTTTCCTCCTCCTTCTCCCTGCAGGGAATTTTGGGGAGGAATCCAGGTTTTCCTGGCGCTCCATGGAGCCGTGGGTGCTGCTGGATCCGAGGGAGAAGGATCTGTACCGGGATGTGATGCAGGAGAGCTACGAGACACTCATGTCCCTGGGTAAGGAACACGAATTCCTTTCTCCTGCTCTTTTCCCTCCCTCCGTATCCTCCTCTTTTCCATGCAAAGAGCTCACAAGCAGGATGGGAAGGAGGGGAAGGATCCAGGCAGGTTTCCAGGGGGATTTTCCCAACCCCAGCCCTTTTCCTGCAGGAAAAATATTCCTGATCTTCCCTAACATTTACCAATTGGAAATCCAGGCGATGGGCTGGGTTAGCTCTCCACATTCCCAGTTCAAACTGGGATCAGGTCTCCCCTGTCCTCTCCCGATGGTGACAAAACTCCCGATCGGTGACACAGCGAGTTTTGAGTGGGATCCTGTTCCTGCTCCGTGGATTTTTGGGACACCGAGTTTATCGTGGGAATTCCACGGATTTCTATCCCGCTCTTGGCCTGCTCAGGGCCTCACATTCCCCTTTTCCTCCTTCTCCCCTTTCCCAGCAGCTCAGGGACTGGTGAGCGGCCAAGCAGCCGAGGAGGGAGCAGCAGAGGACTCGGAGGGACTCGGAACGCGCTCGACGCGCGGCGCGGAACGGGAAAAGCCCTTCGGCTCCAACCGGAGGAAAACGAAACGCCCGGACCGAGCC